AAAGGTATTAAGTTATTTAGTTATTAAGCATTTTGAGTTATTAAAGTGTGGCCAATTTTTGTGTTTGTTTAAGCACAATTTAGCCTTTTAAATTAATTATGCATACAAAATACTTACATTATTGCAATTTCTCGTCCATTTACATTTCAATGTTAACCCATTGAAAAACCAATGGACTAAATTAGCCGATTCTTCAATTTACATAAAAAAGCCTATTTACACAATTCACGATTTTAATTACTTTTGAGTGTTTGTGGTCAAAGTACTTTACATATATTTTTTTTTGGAATTGATAATAAAGTCAGTTTTGTTTCAACCGCTTATAAAAGCTCACACCAGAATATTTATCGGTTAGTTGCCAATTGCTTCGCAATTCGTTAATACGCCTTCAATTGATTTAATGTTATCACCGCGATCATATATAACGGTATAAAAGTCTTTTAATCTTGAAAAAGTGCGAAAAAAATAACCAAAACCTCAAATGGAGATGGAAAAAAATAAGAAATATTCCCGCTCTCGACCGGAAACAGACGGGGATGATATAGTGATTTCAGGAATGGCCGGAAAATTTCCAAATTGTAGCAACATAACAGAATACGAGTTCAAGCTGTATAACAAGGTTAGAAACGTAGTACTTAAACGTAGTCATAAAAAAGAACTTCAAACGAAAAAGTATCGAAAAATTCGGAAAATAAAGCATACAAAACATTTTTTAAACTGTGAATTGGTATCGAATGCTATATCGAAAAAATATTACGTAATAATTTAAAAAAGTTTTTAAAACTTAAATTTTTGCATTAAAGTTGCATTAATATGTACAAAAAATGTGGTTGCTATTGAAAATACATATTTGTATATAGGAAAAGATAATTTTTATTTGCAGTTTTATGGAAAAAAGAGCGATTAGAAAAGAAAAAAAGAAAAAAGAGCATTTAGTGACAGTTATATTTATATTTCACTTTATATGTTCAGTTTTCACTTATTTTTATACCCTTGCAGAGCGTATTATAATTTTGGTCAAAAGTTTGCAACGCAGTGAAGGAGACATCTCCGACTCTATAAAGTAAATATATTCTTGATCAGGATTACCTCCTGAGTTGATATGATCATGTCCTTCTGTCTGTTTCTACGCGAACTAGTCTCTCAGTTTTAAAGATATCGACTTGAAACTTTGCACACACCCTTCTTTCTATTGTGCGCAATATATAAATCGGAACGACCGGGATCGGCCGACTATATCATATAGCTGCCATATCGGAAATTGTATAACTTTTTTTGAGGTGTTTTTAGAGTTAGAGAGTTCAAATTTACGAATGCTATTTTAGCAAAATTCTACAACATGTTAAATTTCATAAAGATCGGCCGACTATATCCTATGGCCTATGGCAGCTGCCATATAACTGATCAATCGGAAATGACCCAACTTTCGCGTTTTCGAAGATAGAAAGGTGGAACTTTGTACAGATTTTATTTTTGTTTAGTTGACCCAACCTACCAACCTGTTTTTTGGTAGAAATACCAACATTGGTGTTGTTGAAGATAGAAGTTTGGGACTTTTTATACCCTTGCACAGGGTATTATAATTTTGTCCAAAAGTGTGCAACGCAGTGAAGGAGAAGGCCGGGATCGGCCGACTATATCCTATAGCTGCCATATAACTGATTGATCGGAAATGGTATAACTTTGGTGTTTTTAGAGTTAGAGAGTTCAAATTTAACACGAGAGCAAAATAATACGACATGCCAAATTTCATAAGGATCGGCCGACTATATCCTATAGCTGCCATATAACTGAACGATCGGAAATGACCCAACTTTCGTGTTTTTGAAGATAGAAAGCTGGCACTTGGTACACATTCTATTTTTGGTCAGTTAATCCGATCTACCAAATTTCATAACGATCGGTTGACTATATCTTATAGCTGACATATAACTGAACGATCGGAAATGGTATTTGGTAGAAATATCAACTTTCGTATTTTTGAAGCTAGAAGCTTGGGACTTTTTTTTAGATTTTTTATTGTAATTAATATGTTTTATTATGATGTAACCATAAAGATCGGCCAACTATATCCGATGTTTGCGATATATATCCGGTTTTAGCTGCAAGGATATATCAATTTCGGCTCCGCCCGAAGTTAGCTTTGCTTTCTTGTTTAGATTTCGTTTTGTAATGAATTGGTTATATTATGATAATCTCATATAGATCGGCCAACTATATCCGATTTTTGCGGTTTTAACTGCAAGGGTATATCAACTTCGGATCCGCCCGAAGTTAGCTTTCCTTTAATGTTGTATTAGTTTTCGTCAAATCCAGTCCGTTAACCAAATTTCAGATTGAAAATGAAACAGCGTCAACTGAAAGGTTTTTTATTCTTCTTTCGACGGTGCCTAGGTAATTAATTTTCAATTTGAACTTGAAAAGTTCGCTTTTTGCGTTTTTGTAAAGATATTCTTTTTGTTAAGGATACTTCTAAAACACTAGTAGGCGGGCACTATTCCATGAGCACATAATTATATATAGCCGAAAAATTTAAATCACATCGCGAACAGGACTCAACACGCATGTTCGTGTTGCACGCCATCGTATTTCGCGTGTTCGTGTGTGCTCGTGTTGCGCACTTCAACACAACAACAAAGCAACACGAATCAAAAATTTTGACTTTTTTTGTCTTATTGGCAACTTTTCTTGACTGCACTATTTTTTAGTACATAGATGGGCAAGCCCATGGCTCCTCGGGCTCTCAAGGCTCCCCCCGTTACTCGTAATGTTTGGCGCCAGCAAATCGGGGTAGACGATAGAGTCGCGCGGTCAGTGAGCCGTGAAGATTTACAAAAAAAATGCTACACAAATTCCGAGGCAGGTAGCGGCCCGATCCCGCGGTCCCGAGTTTGCAAAAACAATTATTAAGGGTGCGTTTGCGCACAACGCGACGACAACCATCGCGAGGGTGGTGGTTGTTGTTGTAATTTGTTGTCTGGCCGAGCTGCGGCTCCGACCGTTAGACAGGCCCCAGAGCGAATTCTTACTCTTTTTCTTACGCTCATCGTTTGTTCATCTCACGCTCATACTATAATTAAATGCTTTCTGTTTCCCAGTCTCTGAACGGAGCTCGATGAAGAAGGTTGGCCTGCGCTTCGGTTGATCTTTGTATGTATGCGTGTCACCCATTCACATGTGTGCGTGCGATTTCGTTTCGAAGTCAGAGCACCATGATTTTTTCTTGCTTTTCAGGCTTGCTACCCTAACTGCTGTATGGTTAGTGATACAACACACACGATCAAATTGTTCCTTTAAACTTGACGCTAAAAAGAAAAAATAAATGGAGAGTCGATTATAAATTCAGGAAGCGATTCGCAAAAGCGACGAAAAATTCAGATTAATTATGAATGTGAAAGGCAAAAGTCTTGTTTGGCGTCATTTATTTATCTGGGCTCTACAAGATATTATTGTTTATGAAAAAGCTCACTGACTCAACATAAAAACATAGGCTGTGAGCATGACGTTTCACACATTTATACTGTTTGCGTGTGGCAGAGCTCGGGCAGAGAAATTTCCTATACCCACGGGATAGGGCCCTGCCGACCACTGCTTTAATAAGATAATTTGTGTCGATTTGCCCGAGGGCTATCGGATTCACTGAATTTGGGCTGAAGGAGACATTGGAGTCTCCAGACAAAATATTTTTCTTCAACAACATTCTAAATTCGAAAACGCGTCAATTGTCCTCAATCAGCCCGATCCGACAATGCATTTAAAAGTTACATAGATGGGACATCTCATACAAAGAAAATATTCTATGTTTTAATTTTTTCCGTCGTGGAACACGCTGTAAAAATGAAAACATTTCATGAGGGAAAGAGAGAATTCTATTTTTAGGTCGTAACATCGTTGGAACGATGAAAGTTTGAAACGTTCAAATTGAACCAATGTGAGAGCAAAGAGATCAGAAATATCTTCTTCTATTCTTACTCTTCAGCTCTGTTTTTGGTATGAATTCTAGCGCTTACTTTAAAACCAATTTTAAGTATCGGTAAATCAACTTGAAGGGTAGTCTAGATGGAAAGTGCGCGCTCCTTATTCTTGAGGTCCTGGGTTCGATTTCATTAGTGGGCGGTTTTTTTTAATTTTAGAAAGCTTTAGTTTTCGGATTATTTTTATATTTACTTTTACTTTTTTATTATTTTTTTCACTTTTCATAATTACTTTATGATTATAATTTGTAATTGCATTCTATTACAATTTATGTAAAAATAAGTGACGGACGTTTCGAATAACAAAATGCCGGACGGACTCCCTTGAAATTTTATTAGCCGGAGATAATGAAAAATTAAAAAATTGTACAATTGTAAAATTAAAGAAAAATAATACAATTAAAGAAAAATAAAAAAAAATTTATTATAAAAGAAAGAACAAGTTCAATGCCTTACGAGGATTTGAACACGGAAAAATTATACATAGAGTAACTACTATATGTATCACGCTACCATCCTGTCTCGATCTGCGGCGATTAAAAATACTATTTGTTTTACCAACTACCACATCGGCGCATTGAAAACAGAAACAAGAAATTGAAATGGAAATTTTGAAGACAAAACATTTTTAGGCCGTCGTGCGAGCAGTCACACATACATACAAAGGCTCACATTTCCCTTCAGTACCATTCCTCAAGAATTTCTCAAGGAAACCTTAGGGAGACGGAATTGCCACCCAGGGAATCCTCGGGGTATATTTCATACAAACCATCAAGGAATTTCCATAGAAGAGTTCCTCGCATCGGGGAATTCAGACTCCCCGGGGAATTCTCAGGGAGTTCTGCAGGATTCTATCAGCAATTCGACGTGAATTTCGAACTAAATACCACTTGGGAATTTACAGGTAAAATTGAGAGGAATTAGCCGGGATTCGTAGGCGAATTCACTGAAGAATCAGCGAGGAACTGTAAGGATTTCCACCCCCACCTTTCCTTTCAATAAAAAAGTAATAAATAAATAAATTAGTCATTTTTACAAATTATATATTTTACATCTTTTTTTTTGGCAAGTTTCCCAAAACTTTCTCCGTCGAGTTTCCCGGAGCCAAGTTAGATATACTATCTGTAAATAAAATTAATAGAAATTAGATATTGCTTACGTTATTTGTAATTAAAATACATACCGATCAAAACTCTATAAAAATTTGAAAACGCCTTCAATTTTTTCCCCACTAACTTCGTTTATGTTATATTGGACGATCAGCTCCTTAACAAAAATATTTTGTAATATATTTAAATAAATAAATAAATAAATAATAACATAATACGTACAAGTGGCAAATGCCGTTTAATAAATATATTTACATATGTACATACATAAATATGAAACACTTTTCCGAGCGGCAAATGCCGTTTAATAAATATATTTACATATGTACATACATAAATATGAAACACTTTTCCGAGCGACAAATGCCGTTTAATAAATATATGTACAAAAGGACGTTCAATATAGTCACTTTAACTCAACAAACGCTTGTGATTTATGTGCAACTTGAACATCAAATGGAAAGAGAAGGGGAGAGGCAAAACGAAACCGAAAATTGGCAACCGAAAATTCTGGCGCGTGCCAGGGTATAGTCGACCAAAGCAATGCCTTGTAATTAGAATCGCACAGGGAAAAAAATCAAACATAACATATTGGCTTTGCCTAAAGCAAATTATTTATACATTTTAATATACCATATAATTAGATAAGAAAAATTAACTAAATATATCATTTTAAATATATATAAAAATTTCAACATATTTTAAAAAGGGTATTCTGACGTCGCTTCCATCATTTGGTTTTCGACACAGATTTTTTTTCTTTCCCTTCCCCCCATTTACATCTTTCTAATTGTCTCTCTGTCGCGTGCCGCTGCTCCGAAAATATGAAGTAGAAGCTTCGAGAATCATCGTCGAAAACCGAAAGCAGGTAGAAGTTTCGTTTCCCCTTTCGTTTCGGTCTTGAGTAAACGAAGGCTTCGTTACGAAGCCCATGCAATTTGATTTTGTTTTTCGGACATGTCGCCAAGAAAAAGCCGGGAAGGGAATTTTGGTACTGAAGGGTTTTGTTTACGGATACATGTAAAGAGTAGAATCGTATGCATGTGCGTTCCCCCCTCACCAACAAGCTCGACGAAAAAAGTTGACCGTTTTGGGCCCTGGTGTCCCATCTATGAATGGAAAAAAGGTGCGTGTATGAGTGATTCAGTCCGATAGTTTCAAAACTGAGAGACTAGTTCGCGTATAAACAGACAGACGGACAGGGGGACATGCTCATATCAACTCAGGAGGTGATCCTGAGCGAGAATATATACACTTTATTGAGTCGGAGTTGTCTCGTTGACCGAGTTCCACACTATTGATTAAAATTATAATACCCTCTAAGAGGGTACATATAAAGACAGGAGTAGAAAAAATATCAAATGCGAAATGCGAACCATTTAAAGACCCCTTTGATGTATTAACAAATTTGTTATCATAACAATAATAAAAAAAAGACTAAAAAAGCGATTTTTCTAAACATTTTTATTGATTATATTAATTATTAATATTTTGCCCTTTTAAGATAGATATGGTTGACGATGATGAGCGCAGATGGCGTCATTTTAACCCGGAAATACCAAAACGGTCTGGAAAAATTAGTGAGCTTGAAAAGTTCGATGCAACTTTTTTTGGAGTTCATTTTAAACAAGCCCATACAATGGATCCCCAAACTAGAATTTTAATTGAGACTGCATACGAAGCAGTAATAGATTCCGGAATAAACCCAAAGAGTCTTCGAGGATCAAAAACTGGAGTGTACATTGGATCCTGTATATCTGAATCAGAAAAAACATGGTTTTATGAAAAAGTTTCATCTGGAGGATTTGGAATAACTGGCTGCAGTCGGGCTATGATGGCTAATAGAATATCTTACTGCTTAGGACTTGAAGGACCTTCTTTTTTACTAGATACAGCATGTTCAAGTTCAATGTACGCTCTGGATAATGCGTTCAGTGCAATTCGAAATGGGGAAATAGATGCTGCAATAATAGGGGGATCCAACTTACTTCTTCATCCATTTGTAACCCTCCAATTTGCTCGGTAAGATTTATTTTTTGTTTAGTTTTATTTTATTTCTTATAAAATTAAAAATTTATTGATATCATAGACTCGGCGTTCTTGCTCCAGATGGTTTTTGTCGTCCATTTGACAAAAATGCTAGTGGCTATACCAGATCTGAAACTATAAATTGTCTATTTTTGCAACGAAAACGAGATGCAAAGCGGGTATATGCAAGTGTTGTATATTCAAAAACGAATTGTGATGGATATAAGCCAGAAGGAATTACGTATCCATCTGGGGTTGTCCAAGAAAAGTTGCTAAAGAATTTTTATAAAGAAATCGATCTTACCCCTTCTGATTTGGGCTATTTAGAGGCTCACAGTACAGGAACCGTAGTTGGTGATCCAGAAGAATGCAAAGCAATTGATAATGTTATATGTAGTCAAAGGCATGAGCCCTTATTAATTGGCTCTGTAAAATCAAACGTTGGTCATTCCGAAGCTGCATCAGGAATATGTTCGCTTGTTAAGGCTTGCTTTGCCTTTGAAACTGGCTTGATTGCACCGAATATAAACTTTACAGAAGTCAAACCAATTATTGCACCTCTAGCAGAGGGAAGATTAATTGTTGTTGAAAATATAACGCCTCTTCCAAAGCCATACATCGGTATCAATTCCTTTGGATTTGGAGGTGCAAATGCACATGCACTTCTCAAAGGTTTTAACAAATCAAAAACAAATTTTGGGATTCCTGAGGATGATATACCTCGACTTCTTACATGGGCCGGTAGGACAGAGGATTCAGTGCACGAGATTTTTAGCGACATAGAAAAAAGACCACTAGATGCTGAATTTATAGGACTACTTCAAAATATTCAAGAGGAAGATGTATCTGGAATGGTTTTTAGAGGATTTTCTGTGTTTGTAAAACAAGGCAAGGAGCCCGCCAAAGCATTAGTAAGAGATGTTCAACATTACACTGGCCTTCAAAGACCTATCGTGTGGGTTTATAGTGGAATGGGTTCCCAGTGGACCCAAATGGGAAAATCGCTTATGATTATACCACGATTTCGGGAATCAATAGAAATATGTCATAAAACATTATTATCAAAGAATATAAATCTTAAACACATATTAACTTCCGATGACCCAGAAATATATCAGAACATTTTGCATTCATTTGTGGGAATTGCGGCAGTACAAATTGGATTAACAGATGTTCTACGGTCTCTGCAATTGGAACCAGATTTTATTATTGGACATTCCGTTGGAGAATTAGGGTGCGCCTATGCTGACGGAGGGTTAACTCCTGAACAAATGATTTTGGCTGCTTACTATCGCGGTAGAGTAAGTGTCGATGTGGATAAAATAAAAGGATCCATGGCCGCCGTGGGTATTGGTTACAAGACTATTTTACATATGCTGCCTGAATCTATCGAAGTGGCTTGTCACAACAGTGCGGATTCTTGTACAATATCTGGGCCGATTGAGGATGTAAGCAAATTTGTGGCTGATCTTAAAGCGAAGGGTATATTCGCAAAAGAAGTTCCATGTTCAAATATTGCCTATCATTCAAGGTATATAGCCAAAATGGGTCCTCCGTTACTGCAATATATGAGAGAAATTATTCCAAAACCAAAGAAAAGGACTTCAAAGTGGCTAAGTACGAGTGTACCAAAATTAGAATGGGAGAAATCTATGGGAAAAATGTGCTCGGCAGAATATCATACTAACAACTTACTAAACAGCGTGCTTTTTGAGGAAACATTTTCTTTGCTACCACAAAACGCAATGACCATTGAAGTGGCGCCTCATGGACTATTAGGAGCTATTTTGAAGAGATCAATGTCAAATGGAGTGCACATTCCACTTACCAATCGGGGAAATAAAAACAATGCTTTGTTTTTCATGTCAGCGTTGGGCAAGTATGTGCCAGTAAATAATTATAATTAACTTTTTATTGTAAACTAATTTGATATTTAATTCCTATACGCTCAAACTCGTACTCGTATTATAATATTAATTTTAAAGAAGTCTCAACCTTTTATCCTCCAATCATAATTCTAAAGTCATTTCCAATCGTTCTGTTATATTTATATAAAACAGTGGTCGGCACCCCAATACATTGATATGATTTTACCGCATTAATGTTAGTAACGAATAGCAGAAAGTAGGCTGTGAGCATGACGTTTCACGCATTTATACTGTGTGTGTGGCAGAGCTCGGGCAGAGAAATTTCCTATGCCCCCGAGATAGGGCCGTGCCGACCTCTGATATAAAAGCATCTGAATACCTTAGTAGAACAGATTAGTTGTTCAAAAAAAGAATCTATAGAAATTCAACTTCACAAATTTCGATTTTGTAGTTACAATTTATATGGTAACTACCACTGAGCGCGGCAGTCCACGAAGTGACAAACCGTATGCCTCGCGTTTACGAGGAGACACTACAAATAGCCGAAGGATAGGCGTTCGATCCGGTTAGGTGACATACACCATGAAAGGTATTAGTTTCATTAGTTCATTTTAATCCATAAGTTTGTCAAAATTCGTTTGGTTGATTCACTAAATTTTGGTGAAAAGAAGACTTGTGTGTGTGGCAGAGCTCGGGCAGAGAAATTTCCTATGCCCTCGGGATAGGGCCGTGCCGACCACTGCTTTAAAGTCTTCAGCCTTCAACATTTTTTTTTGAAACAACATCCTAATTTTTAACACGCGTCAATTGTTTCCTCTAACACCCCAATCATCCCGGAAAACAATTTTTCCATCGGTTTGTCTGTCCTATCCTATAGTAAAGTCTCTCTAATACTGAAAGCTTCCGTTAAAAAATTTAAAAAAAACCTTTGTAAGTTAAACAAGAAAGGAAGGCTATAGTCAAGTTTCCAGGAACGAGCGGGAAAGAGGGGGTTCCACAGCGCGACAAGTTAAGCTAAAGAAATTTCTCTCTCGATAACGAATGGGGGATAGCCGAGTGGTAGAGTGCTTGGCTGATGTGCAGAGTGAAACAAGTTCAAATCAGGTTTGAGTCATTCACTTTTTGTTTATTTTAAATCTATATATATTATTTTTTAATTGTCTTTAAGTGTTTTCCAAAATTTACAATCCAATCAATAAATATGCAAAATTTTAAAATCAGTTTGTAGTGGAATCCGCTGTAAAAATCTCTTTAA